AATGATGGTGCCAACTTGGGCCAGTGAAGCAACGTCCTCCACAACTAGACTGAAGAACAAAACGACAGCAACTTGTCTGTTCCCCTTTCCTCAATTCCCCAGCACTGTTCCCATCCCCCCAATTTCCCAATAAAAATAAAATCTTAAAAAAAAAAAATTACAGCTAAATTACACAACCACCACCGTTGAGAACCACCGGAAGACTAGCTGAACAGAAGTCCTATAACAGTATATAAGGAGGAAGCCATGTTGAGACTGGTACGAGGGGCAGAGATGTGGAACAGGCAGGTCCCACACCCATGTGTGGTGGTGAAGAATTGGTAGGGAGGGGCCGGCCAAGTGGCTCGGTTGGTTAAGAGTTGGCTTGGGGGCCAGCCGAGAGACATGATGGTTAAGAGTTGGTTTGGGATGCCAGCTCTGAGCGGCAGGGCCCCAGTTCGGGTCCCACATGAGGGCCAGTGACGCAGCCTCTACAGCTAAGATGGTGAACAATAGCTCAACATGGAGCTGGACTGCCGTGAGTCGCCGGCAACGGTATAGGCTGCAGCCCCAGCTGCAGTGGGACTGCCATGAACTACTATGAGTGGCTGGCAGCCAGCGTGAGCGGCCGGTAGCTGGCGTGAGCGGCCGTCCAGTGGCCAATGAGTGACTGACTGCCTCACCCGGGAAGAGCGCAATGATAATACCAACATGGGCTGTGAAGCGATGTCCTCCACAACTAGACTGAAGAACAAAAGGACAGCAACTTGTCTGTTCCCCTCCCCCAATTCCCCAATTTAAAAAAAAAAAAAAGTTGGGAGTGTGAGCTCTGAGCTGCAGAGCCGCCAGTTAAGATCCCACATGGCTCAGTGACACTGCCCTCTACAGCTAAGATGGTGAAAAACAGCTCGACCTGGAGCTCGGCTGCCGTGAGTGGCCGGCAGTCATCGTGAGTAGCTGGCAGCCGATGAGAGCTGCTGTGAACCGCCATGAGCAGCCGTCCAATGGGCAGCAACCGACTGCCTCAGCCGGGAAGAGCAAAATGATCATAATACCAACATGGGCCAGTGAAGCGATGTCCTCCAAGAACCAAAAGGACAGCAACTTGTCTGTTCCCCTTCCCCGATTCTCCAACACTCTTCCCCTCCCCCAATTCCCCAATAAAATCTTAAAAAAAAAAAAAAAGAATTGGGAGGGATATCTCGGCTGTGGAGGTCCCCCCTGAGGAATGAGGGGTCCCAGCCCCACACCAGGCTCCCGTGCCAGGAAGAGGAATCCCCAGAACATCTGGCTGTGAAAACGAGTGGGGATTGCGTCCAGGAGCGAGAAAGGGCTGCCAGAGGCCGAGGCACTGCTGTTAAAGGGCCCACACGCACACTCACTTGCTCACAAACTCATTCACTGAGCCGCTGAGCAGGGGCAGCAGTTCAGAAAGCACCAGGGACATGTGTGGAGAAACTAATTGACTAACTTCAGGGCGAGGGCTGGAGGGGCAGGGATTGGGGCAACTCTCCAGGGACAGAAGTGCTGGTAGAAGCCACTGCTCCTTTGTTGAGCCCCCCACCCAGTTGGCAGGCCCAGGCAGGCGCCAAATCTGAGCTGTCCTTTAACCTGGCCAACAGCCTTGCCCCGTCCTGGTGATGCTCTGAGACCCCACCCCACCAAACTCACTCGTCCAGCCCGATCTGCTTCCAACAGCTTCTCCACATAAGCAGCCTAACTTGCTTCATGCTACGGACTTCCACCTTAACCCACAAACCTTACACGAGTGGCGGCTGCCCTTGGCTCACACTACAGACTCTCTCAAAGGTCCACAAACCCCAAATAAGCAGTGGTCGGCCTCGGTGCATTATAGCTCTTACCAAGTGGCCCCAAGCCCAGCACGGGCAGTGACTGGTGTCAACTTGAATTTTAACTCCTATCAGGTGGCCCCAAGCCTGGCATAAGCGGTGACCAGTCTTGGCTTGGAACGTAGCTTCAACTAAGCAGCCACGAACTTGACACAAATGGAGGCTGGCATCAGCTCGCATTGTAGTGCCCACCAAAGAGTCCCAAGCCCTGGGCCAGCCGAGTGGATCAGTTGGTTAAGAGCACAAGCTCTGAGCAACAGGTCGCCGGTTCGATTCCTACATGGGCCAGCGAGCTGAGCTGCTGACCTGCCAACAGGTGGCAGGATGGCTCAGCTGGTGAGAGCACGTGCTTCTAACAACAAGGTTGCCAATTTGACTCCTGCATGGGATGGTGGACTATGCCCACCCACAACTAAGATTGAACATAGCACCTTGAGCTGAGCAGCTGCAAGCTGCCAACAGGCGGCCGGATGGCAACGACTTGGGAGCTGAGCTAGCTGCACCCTCCACAACTAAGATTGAAGGACAACAACTTGGATGTTCTCCTTCCTCACTTCCCCAATAAAAATAAAAAATTTTAAAAATTATAAAAAAAAAAGTCCCAAGCCCAGCACAAGTGGCAGCCAGCATCGGTTCACAGCATAGCCTCTCCCAAGTGCCTCTAAGCCCAGCACAAGCAGCAATGAACCACAGTGTCTCTAAGACTGGCGTAAGTGGCAACTGACCTTGGCCTGTACCAGAGCCCCACTAAAGTGACTTTCACTCGAAGGGGTCATCCCTCCGCACAACAGCTCATCCGCTGTACGGGTGGCCAGCTCTCACAGCCAGTTAGCCTGAGGGTCAACCCCACCCACTGACTTGCCAGCAGCAGTAGAGGCCCAACTACAACAGGAGGGCACACAACCCACACAGGGGACACTCCTGGGGCATACAGCTCAGGTGACCAAGGAGACTGTGCCAGTCTGCCTACAGGACACCTTCTATGTAAGGCCAGTCTGTCAAGAATGGGAGACAGCAGATCTACTTCATACATTGAAACAAACACAGGGAAGCAGCCATAAAGAGGAGACAAACGTCCAAAATGAAAGAACAGGACAAACCTCTTGAAAAATAAGAGAAATGGAGACAAGCAATTTATCAGAGTTCAAAACACTGGTTATAAGGATGCTCAATGAACTTAGTGGGAGAATAGATGAACTCAGAACAACAGAGAGATAAAAAACGTTAAAAAGGGGATTGAAAACAAGAAACAATCGCAACTGAAGAATACACTAGAGGAAATCGAGACCAGATTAGATGAAGCAGAGGATTGAATGAGCAATCTGGAAGGCAAGGTAAGGTAGCGGGAAATCCCTAATCGGAACAAAAAAAGAAAAAAGAATTTTAAAAATTGAGGCTAGTTTAAGGGACCTCTGTGACAACATCAAGCATAAAAACATTCACATCAGAGGGGTCTCAGAAGAAGAGGGGGAGCAACAGATTGAAAACCTATTTGAAAAAGTAATGATGGAAAACTTTCTTAACCTGGAGAAATAGAAAAGTCTAGGAAGCGCAGAGAGTCCCAAACAAGATGAACCCATAGAGGCACCTCATAACCCACACCAAGACACATCATAAGTAAAATGCCAAAGGCTAAAGACAAAGAGGATTTTTTTTATTGGGGGAGGGGAACAGCATTGGGGAATCGGGGAAGGGAAACAGACAAGTTGCTGCCCTTTTGTTCTTCAGTCTAGTTGTGGAGGACGTTGCTTCACTGGCCCATGTTGGTATTACATTGCTCTCTTCTCATGCAGCAGATAGGTCGCTGGCCTCTGGACGGCCGCTCACGGTGGCTCTTGGCAACTCACGCTGGCTGCCAGCCACTCATGATGGCTGCCGGCCACACACGGTAGCTTATGGCAGCCCACTGCAGCAGGGGCTGCAGCCTTTGCCATCGCCGGCGACTCAACGGTAGCCCAGCTCCAGGTCGAGTTGTTGTTCACCACCTTAGCTGTAGAGGGTGCAGCGTCACTGGCCCTCATGTGGGATCCTAACCGGGGCCCTACTACTCAGAACTGGCATCCCAAGCCAGCTCTTAGCCAACGCGCCACTCGGCTGGCCCAAGACAAAGAGGATCTTAAAAGCAGCAAGAGAAAAGCAGTTAGTTACCTACAAGGGAGCCCCCATAAGACTGTCAGCTGATTTCTCAACAAACTTTTCAGGCAAGAAGGGAGTGGCAGGAAATATTCAAAGTGATGAAAAAGTAAGGACTTACAACCAAGAGTACTCTACCCAGCAAGGCTATTATTTAGAATCGAAGGACAGATAAAGAGCTTCCCAGACAAGAAAAAGCTAAAGGAATTCAATATCACCAAACCAGTATTAGAAATGTTAGAGGGTCTTGTTTAAGTAGAAAAGATCGAAAATATGAGTAAGAAAATATAGGAAAGAAAAAAAATCTCACTGACAAAGGCATCCAGTAAAATCAGTGGATCAACCAATTCTAAAGCTAGTACAAAGATTAAAAGACAAAAATATGAAGATTAGGTATAATTACAACAAATTAAAGGTCCCACATAAGCATACACACACAAAAAGACAAACATATAAACATGGAGAGGGGTGATTAAAAATGGTAGTGATTTTAGGGCTGGCAGAGTGGCACGTTGGTTAGGAGTTGGGTTGGGATGCCAGCTCTGAGCAGTAGGGCCGCAGTTCAGAACCCACGTGAGGGCCAGTAACACTGCGCCCTCTGCAGCTAAGATGGTGAACAACAGCTCAACCTGGAGCTGAGTTGCCATGAGTCGTCAGCGACAGCGTAGGCTGCAGTGGGGCTGGCCGACAACTGGCATGAGCTTTCGTGGCTGCTGTGAGCCACCATGAGTGGCCGTGCAATGGCTGGTGAGCGACTCCCTCACCTAGGAAGAGCATAATGATAATACCAACATGGGCCAGTGAAGCAATGTCCCCCACAACTAGACTGAATAACAAAAAAAACTGCAGCTTGTCTGTTCCCCTTCCCCAATTCTCCAATGCTGTTCACTCCCCCAATTCCCCCAATAAAATCTTTTTTAAAATGGTAGTGATTTTAGAATGTGTTCAAACTTAAGCAACCATCAACTTAAAATAGACTGCTATAAATATAGCTTGGTGTATATAAAGCACATGGTAACCACAAACCAATAATCTACAAGACATAAAGGAATTCAAACCACACTATAGAAAGTCATCAATATACAAGAGAAGAGAGCAAGAGAATAAGAAAGGAACAACTATAAAAACAATCGGAAAACAATGGCAATAACTACATACCTATCAATAATCACTTTAAATAAAATTGGATTAAATGCTCCAATCAAAAGACACAGAGTGGCTGAATAAATAAGAAAACAAGACCCTTACATATGCTGCCTACAAGAGACTCACTTTTAGATTCAAAGACACAGGCTGAAAGTAAAGGGATGAAAAAAGGTATTTCATGCAAATGGAAACAAAAAGCTTGGGTAGCAATACTTATACCAGACAAAATAGACTGTAAAGAAGGGCTGTCACAAGAGACAAGGACATTTCATAATGATAAAGGAATCAGTCCAACAAGAGGACATAACTCTTGTAAACATCTACACACCCAACATTGAAACACCTAAATATATAAAGCAAATACTGACAGACATAAAAGGTGAAACTAACAGTAATACAGTCATTGTAGGGGACGTTTAACACCCCATTGACACTAATGGATAGATCCTTGAGACAGGAAACAGCAGCCTTAAATGATACATTAGACCAGATATACTTGATATTTTGAGGACATTTCCCGCAAAAGCAGCAGAGTATACATTCTTTTCAAGTGCAAAAGGAACATTTTCCAGGATAGAACACGTTAGACCACAAAACAAGCTTCAGTAAATTTAAGATTGAAATCATATTGAGCTATTTAATCATCTTCACCAATCACAGTGGTATGAAACTAGAACTCATAGAACTTAATAACAAAAAAATCTGATTAAAAAATGGTTAGACCTGAATAGACATTTCTCCAAAGAGGACATACAGATGGTCCACAGACATGAAAAAATGGTCACCATCACAAATCATCAGAGAAATGCAAATTAAAACCACAATCAGGTATCATCTCACACCTGTCAGAAGGGCCATCAACAACAAGTGTTGGTGAGGATGTGGAGAAAAGGGAACCCTCATGCACTGTTGGTGGGATCACAAATTAGTGCAGCCACTAGGGAAAACAGTATGGAGGTTCCTCAAAAAATTAAAAATAGAACTACCTACCTTATGAACCCAGCAATTCCACCTCTGGTATTTAGCCAAAGAAATCCAAAACACTAATTGGAAAAGATACATGCACCCCTTTGTTCATTGAAGCATTATTTACAATAGCCAAGATATGGAAGCAACCTGAGTGTCCACTGATAGATGAATAAAGAAGATGTGGTACATACATACAATAGAATATTAGCCATAAAAAAGAATGAAATCTTGCCATTTGCGACAACATGGATGGACCTATAGGGTATTACGCTAAGTGAAATAAGTCAGACAGAGAAAGACAAATACCATATGAGCTCACATACTCGTACATGTGTAATCTAAAAAAAATAAACGAACATAAACAAGAGAAACTCATAGATACAGAGAACAAACTGATGGTTGCCAGATTGGGGTGTGTCTGTGTGAAAAAGGTGAATGAATAAGTACAAATCGGCTGTTACAAAATAATCACAAAAATGTAAAGTGCAGCGCAGAGAATATAGTGAATAACATGGTAATTATGTATAGTGCCAGGTGGGTATCAGGAGGATCACTTCATAAATCATATACATTTTGAACCACTACACTGTACACCTGAAACTAACACAACATTGACTGTCAGCTATAATTGACAAAAACAAAAACAAACAAAAAAAAAGTTTAAGGCAAAAACCCTGGGAGGGCAAAAAACTCAGATGGCACCAACCAATTAAATTGCCAGTTCCACATCATGCCAATGGAAGACGTGTGCTTTTATTTAAATCGTTCTGCAGTGCTCTTTGGTTTTTCAAAATTAAATCTCAAGTTCATGAGGAGTCAAGAGAGGCTAGACAGCCCAGCAGAAAACAAGTACAAAGCATTATGCACATTGATAAATTCAATCAGCAGAGCCTAGGACAAAGGATTTCATCTGGGGCTTCTCTGGGCACTCAAAATGCATGTTTGCTCTTGAATTTGAAGATCTGTCTCTTGGCTGGAAGAGATAAGAGGGGAAGTTGCCCATAGAAGGATGGAGTAGGAGGTAGGGCTCTCAGTTGAAAGGTTTTGGCTTCTTCCGGGAAGCAGAAACGAAACCACAGAAAGGCTGACCTGAATCTGGGGTCATAATCTTATCAACCAGTCCAACAGGCCAGGGAGAGGCATAAAGGAGTGGTGGGGACTGTGGCAAAGCAAAGAGGGGCAACCTTAACCAGTGGACAGTGCAGGCTTAGGCGAGTTTTTGAGAGAAACTCCAAATTCAGATTGGTATGCACAATTTCCCCAATTTTAAATGTTGGTTACTGATTCCAGCTGTCTCAAACACTGGATGGGGCCATGCAAACCCATCTTCTCACCTAATAAGGCCTGCAGGCCCCGTTTGCAACCTTTGCCCAGAACAGACCTGACCTAGTTTTGCAAAAACAGTCACAGGACACTGTTCCCCCGCCTACAAGGGTGCCCAGAATAACCTTTTTGACCCTGACATGGTCAGACCTGCAGCTGTGTTTTTGCAACCCATGCCCCCTTCTGACAAAAAGCACAAATACACTCCCCCACCCCACGTGTCTATCCACGTCCTGAGGTGAGAATCACTGTATCTTCTGGGTGTCCCCAAAGCCAAGATTTGTTGAGCTTTGCTTCACAAAAACGTTTGTTGACATGTTTTCCAAACATGAAATGGTCATTTTAAAATGTGCCTGCATCTCAGATGGCTTTACCCTCTCCTCCTGCTTGGGGGGTGTACTTCCTCCCATCCCATGCGGGCATGAGGGCTGCAATTCCAACCAAATCAAGGTGTCCTCCCCCCACGCCAGCACCCATCTCAGCCCTCTCTGTGGCCCCTGAGCTCTTTTGCCAGGGCGGCTGGAACAAAGTGTCCAGACTGGGTGGGCGGCTGAAGCAAGAGACTTGTTTGCTCTGTTATGGAGGCCAGAAGTCTGAGATTAAAATGTCGGCCAGGCTGGTTCCCTGTGAGGGCTGTTCTCTCAGCCTCTCTAAGCCACTCCCCCAGTTTCTGGGGGCTGCTGGCAATCCTTGGCATCCCTCTGCTTATAGACACACCCTTCCAGTTTCTTCCTCCATCTTCACATGGCCTTTTCCTCTGTGTTCAAATTTCCCCCTTTCATAAGGACCCCAATCATACTGGATTAGGGGCCCACCATGCTCCACTGTGATCTCATCTTAATTACATCAGCAACAACCCTGTTTCCAAATTTGGGTCACACTTGGATGTCCTAGGGGTTGACTTCAACAAAGGAATCTGGTGCGGGGGGACACAGCTCACCCACTAACATTCCCTTCCAGTCCAGCATGACCCCTAACTGAAGGAATGAAAAAGCCCAGGTTGCATCACTAGTGGGCAGTGCCAGTTTTCAGATGACATCAGGTTGAGGGGTGCAGACTGGTCCCCCACAGCTATTGAGATTCAGGACAGGTGGACTGAGCAGGGAGCAGCCTCGAAGTGTGTGGGGAGGCTGCTGGCCTGGCAGGCTATGCTGGTCTCCACGCTGAAGTCCTCTCCTAGTGAGACTGGGCAGGACAGGCGATATGGGTCTTTAAAACTGCTGCTTTAAACGGTCTGGCATCCTCTGAAAGGGTCATCTGTCCGTAGAGTTGGCCCAGATCAGACTGGGAAAAAAGAGGTCATTAAAAAACCCAAACCCCACAAATCCCCAACCCCCAGCAGGAAAAACACAGAGGGCTCATATGCTGTCCTCGTCCAGCATCCTGGTGAGCCCCTCGCAGATCCGGCGCAGGTGGGAGCGGTAAGGCTCCGCGGGGCTGTAGAGCGCGGCCAGGAAGTCACAATCGGCAAAGTGGCCAAACACGTGGTTGATGCGGCCATGGGACTTGGCGGTCAAGTGCGGGCCCACGGCTTGGTGCAGCAGGTCCCGACACTCGATCAGGGCGGCGACCAGCACGCGCCGGTCAAAGGTGAAGTCCACCTGGTAGAAGCTGACTGCCGTCATGGCCAGGCGGCGCGCCCTCTGGCGGAAGCGCTGCAGGAGCGCCAGCTCCTCCCCACCCAGCTGGCCACCACGGAGCAGGATGGCCAGCTTCACGGCCACCTTGACCAGGTTCTTGACCACTTTCTGAGCTTCCTTGCGGCTGCGAGTGAACTCCTTGGTGGCGCGGTACAGCTCGTCCAGCACCTCACTGCTCGTGTCATCGACAAAAACAGCCACCGTCGCCTTGGATGCCACCTTGCTCAGGAGCTTCTTCTGGGCCTGCAGGGCCAGGCTCTTGGTGCTGAAGGTGTCCATCAGCCCTGCCAGGGGTAAAGACACCCAGCTTCAGTCCCCACAGCCCCCGGGGCCACAAGCCATTTGCTCCTACTGTCTTCCCATGCTTTTCCCTGTTGAACTCCTATACATCCCGCAAAGCCATGGCCTCTTAGTCCCTGCCCCTTTACTGGTGGCCTCTTATACAGCCTCCAAAGCCTTGGCCCCCATGCCCCTACCTCTTCTCTGGTATTCTATATGTCCCCGAAGACCCTGCCCCTTCCCCTCACAGATTCACCCCTCAGTTCAGTCTAGACACCACCTCCTCCAGGAAGCCATTCCTGAACAACTAAACTGACAGCTGGGCCACACAGTGCCCCAGGAGTCCCCCATCTCTACTCTACTCCCCTGGCTTTGCTTCCCCACTGGTCTGCCTCATCCCAGGCCACAGTGGAGGCAGTGGGCCTGACTCCTTACCGCTGTGTCCTTGGAGACTCTCAAAAACATCTGCCAAATGAATGAGGATCTTCCCCAGCCCTTACCCACTGTCCTAGGCCATGGTCAGAATCCATCCCACTCCAGCTTCAAGTCGCCCAAACCAGGAATGCCACGTGGGCACCCACTCACACCCAGGGGCCCCCACAAAGCGTGTCTTTGTGCAAGCTCAGGCCCTGAAAAAAGTCTCAACCCCCGGCTGCCCTCTCGCTTGTACTTAGAGGTCAGGACAGGCATGGGGATTACTGGACCAGCCTTCCCTGCCCCCTACACCAGTCACCGGACCTCAGGGCTACACAGGCGAAGGCCAGAGCAGAGGTGCCGTTGACTCAGCACTGCACAGCAGACTGTGAGCTGGCAGCATGTGCTCGTTTTGTCATTTCCACCAGGTAGTGGGTGGGTGGCCCATTTTGCAAAAGAAAACACAAAGGCTCAGAGAGGCTGAACCACTTCCCTAAGGCCACACAGCAACACAGTGACTGCCTTCTCCCAACACCTCTGCATATCTAACCCCTTCCACTGATGCCTGCAAGTCATCCTGAGTCTTGGAGGGTCAGGAGCTGTCCCCCATAACAAAACCAGCACCAATATTCAGGGCCTGCTCCCAGCTCTGATCACTCAGTCAAGCAACATAACTGCCCTGTGCCTCAGTTTCTCCATGTAGAAAATAGGGAAGATCAGAGCTAACTTTGTCCTGGGGCAGAAGCTTGTGGCCAACCCCAATGCCCCCCTTGGGGTCATTGTGACTATGCCCTGGGCAAGGGGCTGGATGCCACTGTCTGGGACCCCACCATCCGAGCTGTAAGCCATCCAGCACCTGGGTGTGCAGACCCTCCTCTGTGAGCAGCAGCAGCATCGGGCTGGCCACCTGGCGCAGTGCCTATGCCTCCTGGGTGCCCTCCCACCAGTTTCTCTACAACATTCTATTCCATTCCCTCTACCTGAACCCCTTCTCCCAACTCGTCCTGTAAACTCCTCTTTATCCTTCAAGTCTCAGTGTCACTGTCACCCACCCCTGGAAGCCTTCCCGAATGTCCCAGGCTGGGCCAGGTGCCCTATGGCTCCCACTGTGCCCTGGGTGTCCATCATGGCCCTGAGCCCCTTGGTTTCCATGACTGACTCCCTCGGCCAGTGGCATGTGCCGGGGCTGCGCCTCCCTTGTTCACACCACGTCTCTGGTGGCCAGCCCAGGGCCTGCTGCACAACAGGGACCCCAGAAGTGTTTTTTTAAATGCATCAGGGAGAAGATATCTACAAACGCTGGAAACAAGAGGGGACTCCCAAGACCCTGGGTCCAGTCTCCTCAGTTTACAGATGGACAAACTGAGGTACAGGGAGGAAAGGCCTTTCTGTCAGTCCAGGGATGAGGCCCAGGTCTCTGAAGCCGAAGGGCTCTAGAGCCCAGGTCCTTCTGCCCAGCTCTGTCACTGTGTGAGCCAGGGCAGGGCTCTGCCCGTCTCTGGGCCTTGACTTTCCCATCTGCAAGTCCTGAGGTTGGGTGAATTGGTTCCGGAGGGGAGCAGAGCCTGTGTACAGGCTTTAGGAAGGGCCTGGGCCCCTAGCAGCGCCCTCCCCCTCCCCAAGCCCAGAAGGAAAAGGGGCGGGGGTGGAGGCAGCTGCAACCTCCCTTCCCAGCCTCCACACTCCTAGCCCGTCTGGCAGGCTCCCAGACCTGCCACACCTGAGCCAGCCCAGCTGTGTCCTCTCCTCCTCCCTGGCCCATTGTTCTGCCAGAAACATCCCCATTCAAGTAGCCAGAGGGATGACTGCTCTCCCAGGGGATCAGGCCACGGCCCAAAATAAACCCCAGCCTTCCTTCCTGCTTGCTGCATTCACCCAGGTCCGAGGGCAGGCGAGCCAAGGACTGCGTCACACCAGCCCTTCTGGGCAGGGCCTTCCCAGGGGCTCAGGGGCCAGACGTCCAGTGTCCCTGGCCCCTGCCCACCAAATGCCAGAACACCCCACTATCGTTACAAGCCAGAAAAGCCTGCTAAAGCTTCAGGGGCTCTGCCAGAACATTCATTCAGTTGCTCAGTGAGCATTTATGGAGCACCAACTATGTACCAGGCGCTGGAAATACAGCAATAACCAGGAGAGATCCCGTCCCTGCCTTCCTGAGGCTCCCTGTCCCTGCCACCTCCTTATTACAAAGTAACTGGTGTTCCAGTACTACCCTGAAATGGAATCCGCAGGCACTATCGTCTACCTCAACCCGCCAGTTTAAAAGTAAAATTAATAGATGGTGATAAAAGCGACCATCTGAGGAGGTTGAGGGGGCTGGGTCTGGAATGTTCTATGTTCTGTTCAGTCTGGGTCCATAAAAATGTAAAACGTCATCAAGCTAGAATGGTTGCAAATCCCTGTGAATACACTAAACCCCAGCAAAGTGTACACTTTAAAAGGTGAATTTTATGGTATGTGAATTATATCTAAAGGAATATCTAACATTTATCAAAAGAAGATATGCAAATGGCCAATAAGCAACTGAAAACCTGGTCAACATCATTGGCCACTAGGGAAATGCAAGTCAAAATCATAATGATGATAATACCACCCCACCCTCACTAGGACGGCTCTCATCAAACAGACAGACAGCAAGTGCTGGTGAGGATGTAGATAAACTGGAATCCTCACAGCCGGCTGGTGGGAATGGACAATCGGGCAGCACTGTGAAAAAAGGTTTTTTTTTGGCAGTTCTTCAAACAAATGCAGTTATCAGCAATTTTGCTCCTAAGCATCTACCCCAAAGAAATGAAAACATATGTCTACAGAAAAACTTGTACACACATGTTCACAGAAACACAATTCAAGTGGCCAAAAAGTGGAAGCAACTCCAATGGCTATCAACAAATGGATAAACAAAATGTAGTCCACCCACACACTGGAATATTACTCAGCCATGAAAAGGAGGGAGGCGCTGAGACTCGCCACAACGTAGATGGACCTTGAACACACGGTGCTCAGTGAGAGAAGCCAGACACACAAGGCCACACAGTGTGTGATTCCACTTATGTGAAATGTCCAGAACAGGCACATCCACAGAGACAGGATATAGATTAGTGGTTGCTGGGGGAGGGGTTTGGAAGTGACTGCTGATGGGGACAGAGCTTCTTTTTGGGGTGGTGGAATGTTTTAGAATTTGAACACTTTAAAACGGCA